GGGGGTTAGGTCTTGCGGTCTGGCTCAGCATCTTGCTCATCGTTTGGCTCCCCGCGTATGAGGTGCCTCGTACAGAGTCTTTTCAAAGAAGCAACATACTCGATTCTAAAGTGCTCCTGACTAGAGATCTACTAGCTTTACAGTTTTATGCTTGGTAGGATCATCCGACTCGCCTACACTATACAAAACTGACTTCAATCGTTTCTGCTCGTGACGTTACAGAGCGCAATGGAGCTTTTGCCGGACGAGTTGTTGCTGTTGGTTATGAAGCACCTGGATGTGCGAGACCTCATCAGTTGCCGACTCGTGTGCAAGAGGCTCGCGGGCCTGGCCGTGGACCCGGACGTGTGGAGGCATCGAGATTTGCATGACTCCAACCCTCGGGCGTGCGCGGTGCTGCGTGTGGCGCCGTGTCTCAACTCACTGTACATTGGCCGGATGGCCAGATGCCACCGTCGTCAACTGTCCCGCACCAAGTGTGCCGCCGCGAGGCTGAGTTTTGAGCTCGGTTTTGAGCGATATTGTCCCGCGGTGGGATTTGAAGAGGTGATCCGCAACCAGAAGGCGCTCGGCCGCTTAAAGGGCCTTAGCGTCAACGGCGGGTTGGAGATGGGGATGGAAGGTGTCGCTGCCGCCAAGCTACTGGACATCTCGATGTCAATTTCCGGCCTGGAGGAGCTGAGCATTACTGCCCCATGGGGCTTTATGTCTCGTATGCCTATTCGACGCAGCGTCTCTAGCGCATCTCTTAAGGCTTTGAAGCTCAGATGGTCTAGAAAGTTGGGAAATAGCCAATATGATCCCATGAAGTTCTACGAGTTCCTGCTGGCCGAGCACGCCGGCACTCTAGAAAGAGTTGAGCTCAAAAACCTATCAGTCGTCATGTCTGCGCCCGCGGCCCTGATGGGCAGCATGCCCAACTTGCGAGAGCTGCGCTGCACGCCCCTCACCGAGATGAAGGCCCTGGCCGCGAGCACGTCGCTCAGGAAGCTCAAGCTCACCGTGACGGAAGGCGCGGTGGGCCCGGAGACCAGGGAGTTCCTCCGCCGCGCTAACCAGCTGCGCGACGTCACCCTGAAGTACTCTTCACGGGACGAAGTCTGGGGGTGGAAGTCGAATACGGCCGGGGTGGCCCTGGTCTTGGACCTGGCCTCGTCCGGGCGGTCGAGCGTGGAGACACTGCGCATCTTCAACAAGGAGAGGTATCTCCCGCAGGTGCAGCCGCTGCTGCGCGCGCTGCCCATGCTGACGTGCCTGCGGCACCTGCACGTCGAGGTGGCGCCGGACGAGCTGCTGGTGGCCATCACCCCCATCACGGCCCCGGCCCTGCAGAGCCTCGTGACGCGAAAGTCGAACTGGGGGTGCCTTCACGCCTGGCTGCACAGGGCCGAGGTCAAGAAGCTCTTGTCGGAGAACCCAGCGCTGCACGTCGAGATGCACCTCGAAGAGAACAGCTGCGATTTCTACGCCTGCGCTCGCTGCCATTGCGACCTGGTGTTGCAGGAGGAGGCCGTCTTCTTCACGCACGACCCCGAAGACAAATGTCCGTCGCCGGAGATGCACAAGCAGAGCCATTGCAGCCACATTGCTGATGTGTCAAACCTGAAAACTGTAACCATGCCTCGTGCGGCGTGGCGTGGCTGGAGCGATGAATCCAACTGAATGAACCGAATGTGAAGTTTGATATCGTTCTGTGCAACTTTTTTTGTGACAAGGAAAAATTGTGTTTTCAAAAAATACTGTAATTGAAACTTATCAACAATTAAACCGAAAAAAAATATCCAATTCAAGGACTATTCCGCTTATTTTCCTCTCGATACAGGTAAATTTATTATTTGATGTTAATGAAGTTCTCTTTACACCTGATGGCAACGTCGTCGCAAACCTGTCGGCTAGAGGCAGGCACGGAGCGGAAGGGCCCTCAGCACACAGCACAAGAACAAAATTTGTCGCGGAGGACGGAGGGAGCCGGTAGTAGGGG